GCAAACCTTCTTTAAGAGGAGGTTCTGCACGAGTAGAGATATCCGTGATTCCTCCAGGCACGGTCTCTACAGCCTGGGGCGCTTCTCGACCATATAGCTTGTTGCCACCCCACCTGTAAATGACAACCTCGCCAGTAGCGGTACCGACTGCAAATTCGCCAGTGTTGCTTCCCATACTCACGGTTGTAATATTGACATCGCCGTATCGGGCCAGAGCTCTAGCAACATCGACTTGCAGAACACTGCTATTCTCGAGTTCATCGGCATGTCCAGCATCCCAGATTCGAACTGTGCCATCGCCGTGGGCCATCTGAATGATATTCCGAGCCTCAAATCTCTTCATGGGGTGTGTGGCTTCGGCGCCACCTTTTATTAACTGAGGTCCTTGCTGACGGCTCTCAGTCATGCCCAGCCATCTGCCTCTATCCACAAGTGTGACAGCCATGTGTGTTACGAAAGGATGAACAAAGCAGACCGAAGGATGTAGTTGATTTGTAGGTGAGATGGGGTATCCAGAAGGAAAGCTCAATGTAATTAGCTCTCCTGAAGTCAAAAGAGCAATGACGGCAATAGGATTTTGCGCTCCAGCAAAATGAGGCGATGCACGAGGAACGAGACAAAAGTCTACGATCTCGGCACCCTCGGGAGTAGGAAGTAAATGCTGCTTTTTGGTTTGGAAATGATCCGTGAGGATTGGCCAAGTTGATGTTGCATACACTGGAGTCGGCCCTAGCTCAATAAAGGTCAATCCCTTTTGTGGGAGGGTAGTTGGTGCCCCACCAGCGACCAGGATACCAGTATCATCAGGATTGTCCTTACAACACCATGCAATCCTCGCAAATGGCTCTTTGATAGCCATGGTTCCCGGTGTGTTGCCAAAGGCGTTTGACGTAGTTCCTGGTTTGTCGACATGGCAGTCCGTCAAGGTTCTCGCCATTACGATTCTGCCATCTTTTGGATCCCAAAATACCATACTCTCATCGTCATATGCGGTACCAACAAATGTTCCCGAAGGATGCCAGAAGACGTTCGTAAGACGTGGTTTACGTGCCTTGTCAGCTGCCAAAGGGTCCGAACCGCCACCCGGTGCCCCAACCGGTACCTCATATTCGAAGTATTTGATCGGCTTGGCCTGCTTGAAAGAATAGATACAAGCACCATCAGTATACCCTATCAACAGCTGGCCAATGTCCCGGGGATGTAGCTGCATAGAAACAATAGACAGTAATCTCGAGCGTGGATTCCGCTCCCTCCAGAAATTTGGCAGCCGGAGAGGAGCCAATTTCTCCCGGTCGATGTCATAGGCAATGACCTCTCCATTTTGCAATCCGATCAACGCCCAGTCCAGCATAGGATCAGTCACCAATGCCGTAACTACGCCTGGCGGCGAGTAGTTGGCAATCTTCTTCCCCGTTGCGAGATCCCATATTATCAGTTCGTTCTTCGAGTCGAGACTTATGAGGCGGTCGGAGACAAATTGCAGTGTCTTGACTGAAGCTCGGCGGGGCAGGGTGAGGATGACTTGGACGCGATTCTGACCGAATATGTATATCTGACCACTGCCAAAGCTGGTTTCGTTCGTTCCTATCGCGAGGAGAGATTGTACGGGGTCGTATGCTAAGGATCTGGTGGTGAGGCATGGTCAGCGGGGTGTCGGCGGGGTCCTTGAAGCTCCAACATACCCAATCTGCGAGTTAATTCCGAATCGCGCTTGATCATCTGGCGCAAATAGGCCTGGAAGTATTGCAGCAGAAAGGTCATGCTGGATACCAGCTTGCTTTCCGCGTAGGAAGCCTGCCATCTTGGTTAGTGGGCTGCAAAGCGCAAAGGGAGGTTGGAAATGTTGTCCCAGCTTCGTCATCGGCCGCACAGCTGCACAGCCCCCACACGTGATTTGGACAATCTCGAGTATTCCTGGAATGTAATCAATGTATTCTTTATCACGAATTGTGAGGGATTACAAGTACGGTTTCACTGATCATCATCAAAACTAAAGGAGGCGTCCGATCAATGTAAAGTCTGGCATTAGTTGCTGCACAAATTGACCCGCTCCACCAGGGACAGTCGGAACGATCGGGACTTCAACTGACTTCCCATACAACTCCAACTTTCGATCAGGCCCGTTTCACCTTTTTGGCAAGAGCTCTCCCCTTGATGTTCATGGGAGCCTTACGTTTCTTCCCCGCAAAAGACTTAGGTTTCCCTTCCACGCCATCCTCAGGCTCTTCTTCCTCAACAAGTACATACTCATCTGGCGTCTCAGGTCCTTCCCCAGGTCCCCAAATTGCCCAATGCCCCTTCCATGCATCCAGCATCCTCAACTCCGTAGCCCAAATCTCATTTGCCAACATTTGTTTCATCGAGGGCAAGGTAGCCTCTAGTTCTTCCTTCCGTATACCTTCACCAATCATCTGCTCCGCCGATGTAATATGGTTCTGGAGCCTCTCAATGGCGCTTGAGTATGTTGGAGGAGGGTGGACCGCGGCCGTTTCTCGAGTTCTTGCGGCAATGAGGTCGCAAAGTCTGCATCGCGGAATTGAGCGGTCGATAGTCGGATCTGGTGTAACAACAGAGAAGTTTTCGAGCATGAATGTCAAGGTCGGGGGAGTGGCAACGAAACAGTCTTCATGCCCACAAGTAGCCATGGCATCTAGGAAGTGGATCGTGCTTCTTTTTCTGGTGGAGATGAGGCTTGAGAACTACCAAAGTGAAGCTTGGGACATAAGTTGGGTGGTTTTCTTGCTGGAAATTACCTGTGAATCATGATGATTAATATTCGGTGAGATACCAGTGTGAAGACAGCGAGTAGACAAAGAAATAGCATCGCTGAATGCAGCCATGGTATTTGGTAAAGAGAAACGCATCGCAATGATTGACCATACTCACAACAATCTCCAACAAAGACAGGTCCTTTGTCCGAGGTACCCCAAAAGCAGCACCTCAGTAGAGGTGATAAGCCTTCGATGCAGTCTCAACAGCGTCTTGCATTTCCAGTATTCCTTTGACCTTTGCTCGTCAGATCAAGGGAGCCCTTGATGGTGAATGTCCCGTTGTTCATATTTCTCCCACCCAACGCATTCTCATGCCACAGGCTGGAGGGTAAGTATAAACGATAATAATTCTCCTCTTTCCTCCAATTTCCCCTCCAAGACCTGCCATTGAAGTAGACGTAAGCCAGAGTGAATATGAAGGATTGTAGTTTTATGTGAGGAGGAAAGAAGAGTTTGAGATTCGGCTCGAATTTGAGGCGGAAATTTTCAAAATTGTCATGTGACCAACCCTAGAACTAGCGGGGACTAGTCCCAAATAATGTCGGGTTGCATCTCTGTGGGCTGGAGGGGTATTGGGACTGACTCTTGAAATACATCGCCCGCTTGCCAAACCGTCCTCCTCTTGACGAACGATCACACAATCCTGAGTCTCACGCTCTCTTGCCCCTAAGATACTTTAAAGCCAGCACATTCGCTGTTGTCTCACACAGATTATTCAACCTGATCAATGGCTCCAGGAGGACCACCAGGTGCGGCAGGCCGTGGCCGCGGAGGCAAATTCAAGAAGTTCACCAGAGGTGGTAAGTGACCTTCATGCCTCATCATCTTTGGCGTAGCATCTGACATCTTCCCAGGCGGCAAGCATTTCTCCCGTAACCTTCGACCCCTCGACGCCGACGGAAACGAGATCAACGAAAAGAACCCCGACGCAAGCTCATCCGAGGAAGAGGAAGAAGACTCGGAGGAGGAGTCCTCCGAAGAGGAAAATGCCAACAAGCCCACTCTGACCCGTGAGGAGCGTCGCGCTGCCGCAAAGGCGAAGAAGGAGGCCGCTATCGCTCGCAAGAAAGGAACCGTCGCACAGCCGGGTGATCTGCCGTCTAGCTCTGAGGAGGACAGTGAGGATGAAATGCCTGCCAACCCAAATCATTCAAAGGCTGCCAGGAATCAGGCGATGGCCGCGCCGGTCACTGTGGATGAAGCTGCTGAGGGTGTCAAAGATTTGAGTGTTGCTGGGAAGGGGAAGGGAAAGCCTCCGGCGGAGTTGAGTCGCAGAGAGAGGGAGGCGATACAGGCGCAGCAGGCGAAGGAGAGGTATCAGAAGTTGCATGAGGCTGGCAAGACAGATGAAGCGAAGGCGGATCTTGCTAGATTAAAGCTAATTAGGGAGAAGAGAGAGGCCGAGGCGGCGCGGAAGCAGGTTGGTTTTCCCCTCTTATGTTGGTCATCACATACTAATAAATTTAGGCCGAGAAGGAAGAACGAGAAGAGGCTGAGAAGGCAAAGAAGGCAGAGATTGATGCGAGGGAGGCGAAGCGACGAGAGGCCGCTATGGGCCCCGCAAAAGGCAAGGGAAAGGCAAAGAAGTAGAGAAATCTATACAAGGTTCCTTTCGTTTTCGGTTACAATCGCAGCGGCTTTCATTGCATCTTGGCATACTGGCATGTCTCTTTGCGCTTCCCACATAGAAGAATACCCAGCATTGTGTAGAATCTATGCAATCTGTACCTCTGAAATTCATCGGCTTCCTTGATGTGCACAGTTGCATATAATATCAACATTACGTACTAAATTGTATTTCTCCCAAGATTTCTTGGACGGGACATTACTGGGAAATAACGTGCAAGTAATGCATTCGAGATGCAAATTCCCGAAACTTGGGCAGTTCTGTAACCAGTCTTTGCAGATTTTGCCAAAACCTTGCAAAGACTTGATACTTGACTCATGCCTCTTCCCGTTGCCGTGCTGTCAATTCATTCTAGCATGCTTGCTTGTCTCGAATCTGGGCTGGTGACCTGGTCTGGCGTCGCTTATCCGTTTACCCCTTCCTTCCGTTTGCAGACCTGCTCGCTCTTGTCCACCTCATTGACTCTTCACTTCGCTTGATCCCCACCCTCAAAAGTTTGCAAAAAATTGCAGCACTCGTGAAACATGCAGATGTAAACTCTGGAAGTAGAAAAAGTGAAGGTCGAGTCATGGAAAGCAAAAAATCACACTTCACACAAATTTTGAACGCTACCTGGTTTGAACAGGTGTCGTCTGGATTTCCCGCTTTAGATTCCCCAATCTGAAGGCTGGAATCAGAAATGCTACCACTACACCAAGCGTCCTCATTGGTCAGTAAAAGTCCTTATTTTGATACATTAAGGTAGGGACGAAAGTGAGTTGCATAGAGAAGGCACGGTGATCGGCCAAAAGGCAAACTTGCAGCGCTGCCAAAATTGCCCGCGGCCCCCGCCCGCCCTGAAAAACTCATTGCCTTAATTACTTAATTTCACCGCGAGGCTCTATTGCGACACTTTGGTCGGCCTTCCCTAGCAAAATTGAAGCTATCCAGGATAGGGGTAGGTACACGTGATCACCCCGCACCCGGGCCCGCACCCGCATCTTCAAGGCCCACTTGATTTTTCACTTAATAATGCATCTACTAGCTGCAGCCGGCAACCTATATCTACATTAATTCCCAATGTTTCGATTCCTCTCATCTCTGTTTTCCATGTGCGAAAATATTGGAGTCCACCCTCCTCTCGATACCTCATCGACGACCTCTGGCGAATGACATCAGGCCACCCTATGGTGACCTAGAGTTGACCTCAACAACCAACCTCCTAATAGCATCCTGCGAACCTCCTCCACACCAGCAACTCTCAAACTCATGCCTTCACACATCCTCGTCCTCGGTGCAACCGGTACTCCTCCCCTCTCCCTCTAAACATCTCCAACTGACCAATTGCAGGACAAACAGGCATCGATTTCTGCGATCTCGCGCTCTCTCCAGCTTACAATCACAAACTCACTCTCTATGTCCGGGATCCAGCCAAAGTTCCTGAGGCCGTTGCCAGCAATTCGAATGTTACTGTCATCAAGGGAACTCTAGAGGATGAAGCTATGTTGAAGATCGCTGCTTCATCTGGTGCTACGATCTTCGTATCGTTCGCTGGACCCACGGGAAGGTTGAGTGGGACAGTGAGTCTCCCTTGCGCTTCGTCTCATTTCGTTCAATGGAATATCTTGTTCAGATTCATTTGGGAGACTGTGTTCACAGGGAGTCGAAATGCAATGTTTATATCTGAAGTGAAAATATTAACGTCCCTCCAGCCCGTGACCAACGGCATGAAACTACTATTCCCTCTCCTAATACAAAACAACTTCCACCGCGCCCTCATCCTCGGGACCTGTTCCTTCCCTTCTCCCTCAGACAAACCTGCCTGGAAATGGTCCGCTTCCATCGTCCTCATCAAGCTAATCGGCGGCTCTGCCTACTCCGAGTTCCGCGGCCTTGGGGAATTTGTAACCTCTCAAGACGTCGACAAGATCAAGTGGACGCTCTTCCGCGTCCCCTTTTTAGGGAATGGTGAGGAGAAGCCAGTTACGACGACGTTTCCAGGGAGTGGACAGGATGGAATGTTTTTGAGCAGGAAGAGTATTGGTGCTTGGGTGTTGAAGGAGATGGGGGGTGATAGCGAGTGGGTTGGGAAGGCGCCTGTGCTTTGTAATTGAAGGGAGAGGGCAAGTGCCTCTTGATAAGGTCCAATATCGACTTCGATTGAGATTCCATCCATCAGGGTGCGATCACGTGAGGAAGAATGAATTGGAACTTAACTTGGCAGCAACGGAAATCGAAGCCAAGCACTGGCTGGCGACTCCATATTCGCACGAACCTTGGATGACCTCTCCTGCCTCTTTGCACCCAAAAATTGACTTCTGTTTCTCCAATTTATCAACGCAACAATTTTTCATAAAGTTTTATTTCAGGATAGGTCCACCCCACCCATGCAGTGCCCCACATTTGAGCCCAAAAATAGCACTGTTGCAAAATCTACGCAGAAGTGCATGATTCTGATGCTTCACTCAGCACGGCAATCTTACTGTGGTAAGGGGAGATGCTTCCTCAAGTGGGGAAAGTTCGTAACAACGAATATTTTCGATATGGCGAAAGTCCGTTGAAGAGGATTTTTTAAACTTGAGAGATTGTTGGGCTCAGTAATGGCTCTAACGATCGATGGTCCGAGAGAGAGCTAAAATTGCAGTCCAGTAACTTCAGCCCTGATCATGTAAAGAAAAGTCTCAAATAGATGGGTCCTGCAACATACCTTCTAGTCAAGGAGAAGAGAGGAGTTCTAACATACCATTTCTTCTCGTTCGCAATTCTTTTCTGATTCATCAATTTGTTTGATCCATTCTTGGTAGTTGTGGCACGTCAGAACCCTCCCGACTCCCGAATCTCCGGTCGGTTCCAACGTAACGCCTGCAGAATAGGGGTCACAATCCGGCAGCGACCCCCTGAAGCGGTAAGCGAGCATTAAAAGGGGGGTTGGGAACCTCACAACGCGGTTGCAATACCTTAGATGTGCTCCCTCACCCACTCACATAACGCAGATGCTGCTCCACATACTAAAATGCCCTAGAACTTGGAAGCGGCTCGCGCGGGGCAAATGAGAAAGTGATAAGTGAAAGCAGCCCACGTGCTCTTTCAAACAAAGTATACTATCCAATCTCCTCCATCTTCGCAATTCCGCTAATCTTGAATCCATAACAAATGAATACTGTCGAACGCACAGATAGCATGCCGAGTCCAAATGCTGGTGGCCCTACCCTTGAGGAAGCCCCGTAAACTTCACTTGATACACTAGATCAGTCAATCAGACTTGTCAGAATGAAGCGCAATCTACTTTGCATTGTTACTCAAAAATCCATTCAAAATACAATATAAGCTATTTAATTCCCCCTTATGTCGCTATGTTCTCCTCAGCTGGTGGTCGATGGGCAGCGACAATCGCCTTTGGTGGCCATGCGCCCGCTACATACTCGCACACAAAGTGGTGGCTTCCAGAGCCAACCTGTCTGCTAGGCTCCTCTTCATCAGAAACAGAAGCTGATAACTCAGAAGGCAGCGTTACAACAGCAGTCGAGTTTGGCGGCACGACAAGAGACATGACAAATCGGGTGCCATTCTCTTCCAACTTCCAAGCGCAGCTCACCAATCCGTACGGGCCATCAAAGGACACCTCAGCGGACGTCACATTCCCTCCTGGCACCGGCCTGACTTTCACAACCTTCCAACCTGGCTCTAAGGGACTGATGCCACCGACCGAGCCGTGTAGCCAGTCCGCAACAGCTCCAAGCGCGTAATGGTTGAAGCTTGTCATTTGCCCGGGGTTGATTGTGCCATCAGGCAACATACTATCCCACCGCTCCCATATCGTTGTTGCGCCCATGGTAATAGGATACAACCAGCTAGGACACGACTTCTCCAATAGCATCCGATAAGCGATCTGTGGTAGCTTACTTGTTGTTAGTGCGTGCAAGATGACCGGTGTCCCAGCGAAACCAGTTGCGATGTTGAAGCGTGCTCTCCGAACAAGCTTCTTGAGGCTGTTGGCTGCCACGAGACGGTGTGCTGCTGTTTCATACAAGTTAAACTGTATGGCGAGAGCAACCCCAGTTTGAGAATTAGACATCAGATTCCCATGGGGCGTGATATATTTATGTTGGAAGAGCGCCCGCAGTCTTGCTGCGTCTGCAGCGTACTTGGCAGAGAGTAAGCTCTTTCTCAATTTCGCGCAGATGTGAGCAAAGACTCCTGTAACATGCACGAGGTATGCATCAGCCACCATCACATCATCCGTTCTGCTTGATCCTGGATCGTCTGGAGGAGCTGTGGGGTCCAGCCAGTCTGAGAGTTGCCATTGGTCCGGATTCCATAGGCCGTCCTCACCACGGTCGACCCCTTTATCCAGCCACGTTTGCATGCTCACAAATTGTCGCTCAAGCAAGTCAGTATCGGCGCTATACTGATAGAGGTCATTGGGAGTGAGTATGGTAACATCGTCCCAAACGGCTTGGGGGATGTGCGGCCAATGTGGTGGCAAGACATCTGGACAAACCAAGCCGGGGATTCCGCCTCGCCAATCCTCGAGCTGTTCTGCAGCGACATCTTCTAGCCAATTTCCCAGCATACCAGTTGTGTCAAAGAGGTAACTTGCTGAAGGACAGAAAACCTGAATATCGCCTGTCCACCCGAGTCGCTCGTCTCGCTGTGGGCAGTCTGTCGGGATTGACAAGAAATTTCCTCGCATGGACCAGACAACGTTCTTGTGCAACTGATTGACACTCGCATTTGAGCAGTTGAATAAGCCACGGCGCTTGAGATCGCTGTGCATAACAAGGGCAAGGATTTCTTCGTTTTGGGGCTGTCCTGACGCAGATGGCCATCCATCCACCTGAACATACCTGAAACCATGGAAAGTAAAGCGTGGAGTCCAGTCTCTTATCGTCTCGCCAGAGCCAGTGATGGTGTCTATAGCCTTTGCAAATCTCAAGGGACGGACTCCCAATTCTCCATGTTCCATGACTTCCGCGTGCCGGAAGCTGAGTTGGGCACCTTTGGGCAGATGCACCGACTTCACATGCAGCTTGCCCACTAGATTTTGGCCAAAGTCGAGGATGACCTTCCCACTTCTACTCAAAAAGATTTCCACTGGAGATCGTGACTCAGTCACCCTCACTGGTGGTGCATCAAGAGACACCAGATTTGCAGACGTCCACGGCAAAATCTTGGTTTTCCCTGAGAGCCTCATGGAACCACCGATGCTGCTCCAATCTAGTTGTTCAAGGCGCATGTCGATAGCCTCTCCGTCGTACAGCTCACTGCTTCGAATCGAACTCGGGCCGCAAAGCCACGAGTCATCAGATAGCACTTCGAATATGGGAGTCGCCTTCCAAGAAGCTATCTCGAGTTGGGCCAGGAGTCCAAGTTCTTCTCCATACCAAAATCTCTTCCCAGCTTTGAACCCTAACCTCGTTGCATACCAACCCTCTCCCACCTCTGCACATATTGTGTTTGTACCTTCGGGTGATAGAAGCGAGGTCACGTCGTAGACAGAGTAGTTGAGTCGGTGTTTGTAGCTGGTCCAGCCTGGGGCAAGACATACGTCGCTGACGGGTTTGCCATTGATGTAGGCATCGTGGACGCCAAGAGACGTAATATAAAGTCTTGCCTTGAAAGACGTCTTGTGTTCTGGCGGAATCGAGAAATCTTTCCGAAATCGAACCGGCTGTAATGGCCCATCTCCGAACCTTTTCGAAGAGGTGATAAATGAGGCTTTCC